GGAAGGATGGAAGGCTGAGTCAACCTTGAGCCGGCTACCTGGGATTTGAACCCCAGGTCGTGAACAATTTTAGCTGCAGTACAGCGTTTTAACCACTGTGCCACGAGGCTCCTAGTGGTCAGTTAGCAGTTACATGGCTAAAAATTCCACAAGGTTTTGTCTTGCTTGTGCTTATACTCATGGGAAGACTGCCTGGAGGACATATTGTGTGACAGAAAGGCAGTATGAAATGCAGCTGGGTGAACGTGGTATCATTGGCAAGGTGCATTAATTGGGAAAATGCATGAATTGTGTGCTCTAACTGGCTTCTTCTTGCAGTTCCTCATGTCAGGCTGGTTGAATGGTTACACCTGGAGGTGTGACCCTGTGGACACATCCCAGGATCCTAAGGCTCTTCGGGTATGTTCCATCCTGTTTCTCTCCCTCCCCACAATTCATAATAAGTTGTGCCTTTCATGCCTTAATTCCTGTGTGTTGTGTTTACTTTTTTTTAATTGAAGCATTAGCTTAGCATAGTGTTTATCATAATCCTGTGGTTGGGTTTGTCTAAGAGGATTGATGACCCAGGGGTACAGAAGCTAGGCAGAATAATGGAGGGAGAGATTCAAATTGATGGTTTGGTGACTATGACCTCTGACTTCTGCTCTGTCTCTTGGTAGATGGTTTGTGTGGCATGGATCTTTATCTTCTCCAAATTCATTGAACTGATGGACACAGTAAGTGACTATGTTTCATTAACACTGGCTCCTGTCAGGCTTCACATATTTTAACTGTAGCACAGATAGTATACCTTTCTCATTGAGAGGGTAATAGTCAATTTGCTCTAGTTTTCCTCATGATACGGATTACTATAATAAATAGTGGCTGATGACAGTAATACATTAAATTATTTTAGAAGAAACAGGATGGCATATTGTACATATTTTCTAATAAATATAGCTGAAGTGTAAGATGCCTCTTGGGGATGATTTGACTGTCAGTTATTTGTTTCTCTGCCATGATGATTTTTCTCTCTAGTTCAGACATCTTGAGGTAGAAACAGGCTTGTAGCCAAACAAATGGCCATATACAGAAACCTTATCTCACATAATGCTCTGTTGCTTCCAGGTGATCTTTATCTTAAGAAAGAAGAATGAACAAGTAACTTTCCTCCATGTGTTCCATCATTCAGTACTGCCATGGAGCTGGTGGTGGGGTGTGAAGTTTGGCCCAGGTGAGATACAGGGAAGGGCTATACTCTGGTCCTTTGCTCCATATTCCGACAACCAGATGCATATTGCTGTTCCCAAGTGCTTGGCTCTCTAAAACAATCTCTGTCATGTGCATGTATTGTTATCAGTATGATCTCAGAGCACATGCATAAACTCGCAGAAGTACATTTAAATGAACAGGAAATAATGCAAAATACAAGCGTCAGATAAAGAAGTTCCACAGATGTGGGGTGGATGAGTGACACAGAATAGCTTTTACTGTATCTGCTGTGGGCACTGCATCCATAATTGATCTACATGTAACAAAGCAGAAGCCTGCCAATGTAGAGGAATGTACAGTGGTGCCTAGCTTAGCAACGTTAATTCGTTCCGAAAAAATCGCTGCTAAGCGATTTCATCGCTAAGCGAAACACAGTTTCCCATTGAAATGTATTGAAAACCGGATAATCCGTTCCAGTAGGAACGAATTGCTCTCCTTAAGCGAAAATCGCCATAGGAAACATTGCTAAGCGAAACGCGGTTCCCCAAATGAAATGCATTGAAACCTATTCAATGCATCTCAATGGGGGAAAAAATACAGCAACAAATTCAAAAAGAGTTAGAACAAAGTCAAATTTGGTTAATAAGTGCTCTTTATGATTTCAAACATTTTAAACAGTAAACTTTAACTTTATAAATAACAGAAAAACATTTTAAAAACAGCAAACATGAGGCTGTTTAAACCATCGTTAAGCGAAACAGGGGACCCAAAATTTAATCGCTATGCGAAGCATGGTCCCAACCATCGCTAAGCGAAAATCGCCCATAGGGACCATCGCTAAACGAAGCACAAAAATGCTCCAAGAAAGTCGTCGCTAAGCAATTTCGTCGCTAAACGGAGCACCTGTTAAGCAAGGCACCACTGTAGTTCTAATAATATATAATTGTATTTAGACATTGGTAATTTCTGGACTGTGTTCAAAGCTTTGAGTATGGTGGAAATTAAGAAGTGGTATAAGTTATGTTTGCAGGCTTTATTTTTTATTTGACTGAAATGTATCCAGCCACTTTACTTTATAATGGCACTATTTTGAAATGTTAGCTTTGCTTTCTACTTGTTCTCATTTTTGTCTGCAAAATGTGTAGTTATAAAGTCTGCTTTAAAACTAGTATTTAAACTTTTTAAATATGTATAGAAACTCATGTTGTCTTTATTATTAATACTCCAGGTTCATGCCATAAAATATTTTGAGATAGCTTTACTCCAGTTACTTAAAATCTCAGATTTTAATTGATATGGATTGAGTGAATTGTATAAGTTTGTAATAGGAACTTTTGAAATGGTTTACATTGATAACATGACATTTATATTCTCTAATGCTCCAGATGAACCGCTTCTTTTTAATGTGTGTTTTATGTGTGTATTTAACCTTTCTTTCTTTGTCTTGCCTTTCAGGAGGAATGGGCTCCTTCCATGCTATGGTAAACTCTTTAGTACATGTTGTGATGTACTTTTACTATGGACTCTCAGCTTTAGGGCCTGCCTACCACAAGTACCTGTGGTGGAAGAAGCACATCACTGCCATTCAGCTGGTGAGTAATGAGGATGGACCAGGCCAGCTAGGCTGCCATCTCTAAACTGGAACAAATGCTACAAAGGACTGGGCCACTAGTCTGGCACACTGTCTTATTCCTGGTCTTTTGGCTTGTGAATGACTGAGAATGATGGGACTTAATGTGGTGTTAGATGTCTGTGCTTGTCTTAGCTTTTCCCATCTTCAGCTGTCACTAGATCTGTTTGTGCAGTTTTGTGGGTGGATTGGGAAGGGGCTGCGGCTGTCATTTTCACTCCTTTAACCTCTCCTTTGTTTCTTCTCTCAGCTGCAGTTTGTGCTTGTCTCCATCCACATCTCCCAGTACTACTTCATGCCCACCTGCAACTACCAGTTTCCAATCTTCATCCATCTCATCTGGATGTATGGCGTTATCTTCTTCATACTTTTCTCCAACTTCTGGTACCAGTCGTATACCAAAGGCAAGCGTCTGCCCAAGGTTATGACACAACCCCAGCAGAATGGCTTACATGAGAATGGTGTCGTTGCTAATGGCAAAGCCAAAATCAACTAGGGGGTGGACCAACTGGCGCCATATCTGGGCCTGTTAACCAGACCAAGTGCCTACAGACTGTTGTCTTGCAATTCCAAACCACCTTCCCAACTGCCCTATATCCCTCATTGTCTGGTCTTCACCTGTCCCAGGGGAGAGAGAGACTGCCTGTGCTGTTGGTGCTGGATCCAGCCCAAGGTCTCCAAAGTGCCTGTGTCTGCCCTGGGCTGGGCTCCCTCCAGAGCTGGACCAAAGCAGAACCTTGCCAGATTGGGCACATCTATCCATTTAGTTCTATGTACTCCATGCAATCCAAGTGGGAATTTTTGGTCCTCGCCTCCAGGTTTATTTTGCCCTGTATTCCCTTCATCTTCTTTCACCAACTTGTGGCCTGCCATTTTCAACCAGAAAGTCAGTGGTCCCTTGTTGCTGTAGGGTCTGAATCTCCCAGAGAGATGTTTTCCTGCTTTTTATGCAGGTGGGGTGCTATAGGTCAAAGGTTTAACTTTTGCTGCCTTCCCTTCACATAACTCCCCAACCTTTGATTGCTCTGTTTCCCAGACCTTAGCAATAACTCTGGACTTTGCTCCCTACGGGTTGATGACCACAGGTTCCTGCTGCACTGAGGCCGAGGGAGAAAAAAAAATAGGACTCTGTTGTCTGTTTTGCATGCTGTTGCTCTGTGTGCCTTTTTATCATTATTATTATTGGATTTGATCCAATATATTACTATTGGAGCCAAATCTCCCTGTAATGTAAAGCTTGGGAAGAAGTCATCAGGGGGATATGCTTTCATTCTACCTGAATTCCCCACTTGTATATGCAGAAATAAATGGACAGAAAGAATAGTGGCTCTTTTCTTGATTTCAAGGCTTAGAACCTAATACTGGTCAGGCCTGTCTGAGAAGCAAAGTGAACATTTCCATGGGCCACAAATAACTATGTTACTTGCCAAACAGATGTTGACTTTCAGTTCCAACTACTAGTGTTGTCTTGTAGTGAGCCTTAGCTGAGATTTAAGTTGTTTGGGCAGGGAAGAGTTGAAAAACTCAGATGGAAATCCCATGAAGTGTCAGAGTAGTGTTGGTGACCTGAATTCTGTTTGTCCACAGTGTATAGTGGCACACCTTGGATGGCTTCTGCTTGAGAACCTAGTAATTAAACATCAAATCTTTAGTAATGTCTTCTCAGTGTGCAGAGTATATTTGCTCAAAAGTTCTGTGCACTGTTTATTTCCTAGGCTCCTGTCTTTCCCGACTGCCAGTTCAGTCACAAGAATGTTTATCCCCAATCTTTCCTTATATGGAAGTTATTTTGAGGCCAGCAACTTTTCTCTCTTGCACTGGTTCCTTTTTTTTTACCCAAGCTTCAACTGCTGAATCTAAAGAAACCCTCTTCTTTGGTTCTGTTTTGAGTACTCTGGTTGGATGTGACTACTGTAACTGTATATGGCACAAGGAACGAGCCTGTGGTTAAAAATATTTAGAAAGGTAATATTCATATCACATCCTAGATTTACTCTGTATTCTGTGCGTAGAATGCTGAATGTATCTGAGTACATCTTGTTAGATGTGGTAATCTAAAGTACTGTAGAACACCTGTCTTTTGTTGGAATCAATCTTGTCCTGGGACAGACTAAACACAGCCTGGATTATTTTACATAAAACAATACAAGGTGCACTGCTGGAGAAATTTTACCACCACAATATTTTGATAACATATTTACTGTTTGTCAAATATGGCAATCCTGTATTAAAGCCTTTTAGCAAAGTTGTTAAGTTGAAATAGCAGCTTTTATAACCTTACTTAATATCTTTCTACTCCCACTTATCTTTTTATATACTGTCTTGTTCTCTCCACTTCCAATCCATTCCTGAGAAACCCTAATTTAATGCTTAGAGTAGCCTTCCAAATAGATACACCTGTTTTGAATGAAAATCTTGTGCTAGGGATACTTAGGGGTACAATTTGAAATAACAAAGAAGTTTACTTGTTCTCCTTTGCATTCCTGTTCTCAACATTTTTGATTGTGTTTTAAAACGTTAACCTCAGATCACCCACCATGCAGGAGTACTAAAGAATAAACATGTATTCTAAATGAGGTTTTACCGGTGTCACTTTGCACTAGAATTATTTCACCTTGTCTACTCAGGAATGTCTTTTTTATTTGGACAGCTGGAGAAGTGGGCCAGGCATCATCTGATCAAGACCCTATTGAACAATTTTACATGCATTGTTTTTAGTTTATTTAATATTTATCATATCTTATTGCAGGTTCTCACTGTAGCTCAAATGAGTCAGATAGTATTAGTTTAAAAGCTTTGGCCTCATATCCTGCTGGTGTTCCTCAGATTCCTGATATGCTACCTCCTCAGAGTTATAAATATGAAACAGCTACTCTAATTATGATATGTAGCTAACTGCTTCTCTATAAATGGCTAAGCGTATTTGGAAAAGCATAATGTTTTCATGGGCTGATGGAGGCTGTGTATCAGAGCTTTATTAGTATGTTGCAGTACTGCAATATATGGTTGAAACACACATAAAAAAGTCACTAGGGAAATCTGTGGGTAACAAGGGTCACAAGCTGCTCATTGAAATCCTAAAGATTCTGCATGAAAAGTTTGTGTGTGGAGGGATGCTCATTCACAACATTAGTAATATTTTCCCCATTGAAAGCATTAATAACCAACTCTTCAGTTTATGCTGCTCATGATTCTTGATCCAAATTACCTGTTGTACAAGCCCATTGTAACCCGAACTTCAATCTTCAGAATGGTTAAGAGTGCAAGTTCCTGTGGGATAACATTTTAAAAGTGGCATGCATAGCCCTGTAGTTTTTGTAGTTCTGTTTTTTGCAAAGTGTAATGGAACAACTTTCTCACAAATAATTGCAGACATCAGCCTGTAGGACAATTCAGTCATTAGTGAACTTCCACTTGACTCACTTATAGGCTGTTTGCTTTTCACTAGGAAAACATCTATTCCTCTTCCCATGAAACTCTAGATTGAAATAAACATTGACCACTATTTGGCAGTCAATTTTCATTAATTTATTGTCAGACCTTACACTTACTTAAAACAAAAATTATTTGGGCAGGATTCTGTTGGTGATTTACATATATGTAAGTTAAATTGCATTGACTTGCTCAGGTGATCTGCCACAAACAAGATGCTGGTTGCATTATTAGATGCACACATAATGAACTATCAGGTACACAGCTCTTCATATTGCTGTAGAAGCAAAATTTTGCAGCCGGAGCTGGTCGTAACTAGGGTCGTTCAGAAGTTGAGGCACCACTGTATGTGGCATGCAGGTCACACGCCAAACTCCAGGGCCTCCAGTACCCCTCCCTCTCCATTTTTTAAAAAATGTTGGAATTCCTTTTTAAGCACAGAAAGTCTCTTTGTGCCGTATAGGGAGTATGGAGGGCATTTATGCCATGTTTTATAAGCCCCCAAATGTCCCAACATACTTTAAAATTTTCTTTTGCAACTGGAGTCCATAAGGAGGCTTTTTCAGGTTCCTTTTTAATTGTTAAAAACACATTACATGTATAGTTCATGGAAAAGGTGCAGCCTTCCAAGGTCCAAGGATGGGCATGTGTGTGTCAAGATCTTTGGAAATTGCATCTTGACAAGTGTACAGTGCTAATAGCAATTCCGTACTTAAACTCATGCTTTGAATTCCAATGAACTAGATCAATGATTGTGTCTTCCACAGACAGAAGAGACAAGAGTTTTCAAAGATTCTCTTCTGACACTATTTCTTATCCCATTCAATAAACAGAACAGGCATTCATTATCTATGCTGTCAGCCTTTTGAAGAAGTTCAAAATTCCATCATGTATTGCAGTAACAGGTTACAACAGCAACAGTCTCTATCACGACATAGCTTCTTCATAATAGTGGAAGTTATAGCACAAATAGAATACTAAAAATTAATTTAGTATTCTCTATCTACAACTGTATACAAAGTATATTCTAGTCATTATTGTGCAATTCTATAAACTGCACGTTCACATGTATCTCAAGAGGTGATTCTTGAGATTCAACATGAGAAACAGCATTGTCATAAGGAAGCAATATCAGGTAATTACAGTGGTGCCTCGACTTGTGAACTTAATCCATTCCCGAAGATGGCCGTAACTCGAATTGGTCGTAAGTTGAAACACCATTTCCCATAGGAATGCATTAAAACCTCATTAATCCGTTCTGGCTGGGGGGGGGAATCACCAAAAACCCCACAACAGCACAGCAAGCCCCACTGTAATGCACTGGGGCCGGGGGGAAAATCACCAAAAAATACACAATATTGCAAGCCCCATCGGAATGTGCTAGGGGAAACCACACACACACACAAAAAAAACTCAAACCATCACAGCACAGAAACGTAACCCCCTCCCACCCCAAACCCATGCTGCAAAACCCTGTATGTACTCACTCAGAAGCAGAAAGCGGCACCAGGCAGTCTGAAGCTTCCTCCGAATGCACACACTAACCGTTGGGGCGAAAGAGCTCTTCACCAACAAATGGTTAGCAATTTAAATTCCCCACCTTTTCTCTGATCATAATTCAAAGCTCCGGTTGCAAGTTGAAGCAAAATTTTGCGGCTGGAGCTGGTCATAACTCAAATTGGACGTAAGTCGGAACGTTCGTAAGTCAAGGCACCACTGTACTTGTTTTTCTCCCAGTATTTTGTCATGTAGGTTGCATAGCCGCCTAGAGTGGTCGAAATGACTAGATAGGTGGGGTATAAATACAATAAATAATAATAATAATACCATGCCACAGAAAGCTAGAGACATACGTGGATTACACAGAACTCACATATTATAGGGCCTAGGTTTGTGATCTGTTTCAAACACATGTGCATTCTTATACTCACTACATGGCTACCATCAGAATTGATCTCCCTATACTTCGGTTATACAGAAGATCTGGAAAGTATATATTTTTCCACTGCTAAATGTCCTTCATTACACATCTTTTCACAGACCCTCCTTCTGCAAATCTGATGGCAGATAAACTATTTAAACTATAAAAACAAACCACATGGTGCGGTCTAAAGCAGGAATATGGAATATGTGGCTGTCCCTTTAGTAGACTACAACTCTCATCATCCATGGTCACTTAGCATGCTAACTCTAGATGGGAGTATTAATCGAACAGCTGGAGGGCCACAAGTTCCCAGTGGTGGTCTAACAACTCTTAAGGGGTAAAATGTCCAGCATGCCGAAATCATATTAGATGAAATTATGATTACAGGCTGGAACACATACACAGGTTTAGCTGGTTCTAACTGGACAGCTATCTTATTTTATATATCCCTGCTTAAAAAAACACTGGAGCAGATTTACATGAACTGGATAGTTTCTGCTTTAATATGACTTAAGCAGTTAGTTTGCCTGTTTTCTCATGGACTATTAAACTACTGTAGAGATGAACCAAAAAAAAAACAAAAAACCCACAACAGATCAAATATGTTCATATCTTGATCCCTTCCATTGCAGCAGTTTTAATCTTCATCCACCCAGATCCAAACCTTTGCATGGCGTGAATTCTGGCATATTTTCTGACTCCATGAGTCAGAAAATTTTGAAGAATTTTGAAATATTAAAGACAGAGTTGAAGTTGTGGTTAGAGTTTAAATTACATGCCCTTAGTTTTGTAAACTCAGTGAGAATTTCAGTGTCCTCATACTCACAATAGAACTGACAATAAGATCATATCACTTCTGGTTTGCAGCATCATTATTTGCTAAAACAAAAACCCCACGTTCTTATATAATGGTTAGGACAAACCACTGAATGAATTTGTCGGAATAATCTTGACAATGTCATGGAGCACATACACTGTAGGATTACAGCTGTATGCATTCTGCAACAAAATATGACTGGTAGACAAAATATTATATACCCTGTGAATGCATTAAGACATCCTAGGAATATGCAGTGAAACTTGAAATGCAAAATTTGATTCAACTTTTCCAAGTCATTGGCTAAAATTCTATTATGTGGTTATATCTGTGGAAAAACAAACAGTATACCTGGGAGGCTTCTGACTGGCAACTAATGAGTTCCTACTTGGATTTTTGGGTGCATGCCAATCAAGTAGGAATTTATTAATGAGCAGTAAGAAATCACTGAGAGTTACACCGTTTGTTTTCTGCAGATATAGCTATTATGTCTGAGTCTTCATGATATTTTCTCACTTCACAATTGTCATATAAGAATAGGACTCTGCCATTTGTGACTGCATTGTGCTTGTACCACTGACAAGCTATAATACTTAATCCTAACATAACCTAAATACTACTAAGAAGGAAAATAACCTGGCATTGGTGCTGGAAGTTAAACACTTTCCTGTTTCCACCAGCAAGATCCCTCCACTAAATCAAGTCTTCTATGGACAGGAGCTTGTTTGTGAAGATAAAGTCTGGATCCAGGCATGTATGTAGTAAAACAGATGGAATACATGGAATTTTCAGTTGTAAATTCTTTGCAGATCACCTACTGCTATAGTATCCCTGCTCATTCAAGAGCAGGAATCGGTCTACAATTATGTACAAACCAACATACCCTCTCTCTCTCTTGCACGTGACTCAACCCCGTTCTTTGCAGGGTTCCGTTATGACAGGAACCAGAGGAGCTGAAAATTATCACTGCATGGAGGAGTATAAAAGCTGCACAGATGGAAGCAGAGGCACACCTTAGAAGTCCCATGTGATAACTGTTTCCTACAGTTTGTGTTGGATAAGCACATCTATAGGAGGAAGTGGGAAAGCAGGCCTGGCTACCTCAATCCTAATTCTTGCTCTCAATTCTAGTGATGCAATATAGCCCCTTGCACTATTACTGCTCCCCCACCATATGTGCATATAGAGAAAAAAATCTTCCACTCCCTGATACCAGTTCCAGGCAAGCTACTTTGGGAGGCCTATGATTTGAAAAATGGCATACAAAAATCCAAAATTAGTATATCATTTGCAAACACTTTTGCATCTCTGGACCTATTCAATCGAGTTAGCTTACATTATGCAGTCCCCTACAGAGCAAGTCTAGATCCCCCCCTTTTTTTTGCACCAAGAACTACCCATACCACTCAATCAAGTCAGGAGGTGAGCCTGACGCCGAGGGAGGCCCGAAAGGAAAAAACAAGAAATCGGGCCTTCTCGGCGGTGGCTCCTCGCCTCTGGAACAACTTGCCTCCAGAGATTCGTGAGGCCCCGTTGCTGGGTATTTTTAAGACCCATCTAACGGATGTTTAAGCAGGCCTTCCCTCGAGACAACAATAAATTTTCCTTCTTTATCTATTCCTTATTTTCACCATCTTGAAGAATTTGCTTATTGTTTATTCCTTATTAATTGTCTATTCCTGGATATTTTTATTTTTTGTTATATGTATATGTGTTTGTATTTTTATCTGTCTGGAAGCTGCCTAGAGTGGTCATTTGACCAGATAGGTGAGGTACAAATAGAATAAATAAATAAATAATATGCTCATTTCATATAATAAGTTTTAAAAACTACCATGCAAAAGGACAGTTTACTGAAACCAGCAAGTTTCATATTGCCTGCAGGTTGAGCTGTAAGTTTGGTTTAGAAACCACTGGAACACTAGATTCAAAATGAACACTGATCTTAACTTTCCATCAATAATTTTTGCTTTATTTATATCCTATTACAGTTGCATATAAACCATGATCTTGCAGAAAATGAGCATAAATTAAAGGCATGTTCCCCATCACCTTATAATTCATCCTCCATTCCAAACACCAATACCATATACCAATACCATTTGTACACGGAATGTGAAATATTTATTAATTATTTAAAATTCTGTACATAAAGCAAAACTTTGGGAAGGAGCTGAATGAGCTTAACGGATGCCTTGGTGGATAATGCTGCTCTTTGTGCTGCTCTCTTTCTCTTTCTTCCGCGCTGGGTCCAGCTCAAAGCATCGCCAAAGTCTCAAAGTTTCATCTGCTGCTGCTGATGCCACTGTGGATCCATCTGGGCTCATTGTTAAACTCAGTACTCTAGCAGTGTGACCTAACAAAAAATAAAAAAAACCCAAGATGCACTCAGTGTGCATATTTAACTACAGACAACACTAAACAAATAGTTGATGCATGCTTGATTAAAATTGTAATGTATCCTTCGCCCCTGAACCGTTTCATATCTCTTCAACTCACCTTTCAGCTCAGTGACCTTAGACATGGATGGGTATTTCCACACAACAAGCTGGTTCTGAGCAAAGCCATGACCGGATACAAGTTCTTTGTAATTTGTAGACCAAAGTACTGCACACACCTGTTGGGACAAGGGAAAGCCTGCAGTAAGTAAAACAGAAACAGCCCAGATATTTGGTCAAGGTGAAATGCTCCTTGTTTTGCTTTCACCGTGTTATTGAAATATACCTGGGACTGTGCATCCACAGCATTTAGGCAGGTACCAGAGCACACATTCCAGATCCTGATGTGTCGGTCACTTGTTCCGCCTCCTGTTGCCAGCACATTAGACTGCCATGGACTCCAAGCCACAGCCTAAGGAAAGGTATTAATAGTATGTCACATATCCAACTGTCAGCAAAACATATAATATCAGAATAATACAACGATCTACTCACCTTAACTGCTCCCTGATGTTGTGTGAAGGTCTGCACAGGACGCAGGGATACACTATCTCCTTGAGTGGCTGGCCAGATATTTACCAGGTTGTCATTCCCTCCACTAGCCAGATAACGGCCATCAGGTGCCCACTTGAGTCCACACACTTCTTGCGTATGGCCAGTGAGGGTTGCCACATGGTGCTCTGCCACACGAACATCATGGTGATGGATGTGACCAGTCCGAGATCCACTGTTAAGGGGGAAGATTAGTATACTCCTTTAGCGAAGTACATACAGCCAAAGGCCATGTAATACCCACTTCTCCCCATCAAGTGGTCTAGAGAAACTTTCTCATTTTGTCGTTGTCTTCTAATACTCCTCAGAAATAACATTTGATAGCTCCTTTGTTCTTACCTGGACAGGATGTAGTTGTTCCAGCTCAGAGAACTCACACGGGATGACTGACTGACCATATTTCGTAGACGTTTCTTCTGCTGAATGTCCCATAACTAAAACCACCATCACAATCAAAGAGTTAGCACACTCAGTTACTAGTCTCTAGTGTGCTTTAGACCAGTGGTTCTTAACCTTTGTTACTCGGATGCTTTTGAACTGCAACTCCCAGAAACCCCAGTCAGGACAGCTGGTGGTGAAGGCTTCTGGGATTTGCAGTCCAAAACTCCTGAGTAACCCAAGGTTAAGAACCAGTGCTTTAGACACCATATGGTACAGGAGAACATGCAAAGGCTAGCCACATGACCCTGATGCATTTAAAATTAAATGGATGAGAAAAGGGTATCAAACAACATCAGAAGAGCAATAAAGTGAAGCCTGTTAGTCAAAGTTCAACTCTGAATACACCATGCTTCACTAGACTTTATCCCATGGCAGCAATTAGAAAGTAGAGGACTCTGCTGGAAGTCTTCACCTCACAAAATGCACATCTACATTAAACATTCTGAATACTATACTGTATTAAAACAATCTATACTTACTTTTCTCTATCCTTCCTCATTCCACTGTCAAGGAATCAAGGCCAAAATACATACCACTGCTCTACCACCACCACCTGGGCTCATTAGGGAAACGGAAGTATTTTGCATTGGCTAAAATCCAAAATTAAGTTGCAACTAGCATAGGCCCACCGAATCAGCAGAGATCTGATGAGACAACTCCTCTGTACGTTTCACTGATTCAATGGGCCTACTCAAGTTATGATAACCCATAAGTCAGATGACTGGTCCATAAGCATTATTGACACTGGCAGTAGCTTTTCAGAATTCTTTCCTCCTCTGCCCTCAGTCCTAGCTGAAGATGCTGGATGGTATACCTGGCATCTTCTGCATGCAAAATACCTGCCTTATCACTAAGTTACAGCCCCTCTTCTCACCTGGACTTCAGCATTACTCGTGCCAACTGCCAGATAGTTTCCCTCTTTGATCCATGACACAGAGGATATATAGTCATCTGGGTGTTCCATCTGCATGAGCTGTATTATTTCTCGGGAGTCATAGTTCCAGAGATACACAGTTTTATCCAGAACAACAGCCAGGAAGTTGAGGGAGCTCCAGTCAATGAGATTCAGATCTAAATAAAAGACACAATATTCACTTATGACAGTATTTTGTCCCCTCGCCCCGATCCACCCAACACATCACATAAAATGGAAACCAGGCAATGTCGGGTAAAGTCCAGCAAAGTTTCCCCACCTCCCAATGGCCAGCTTTAATGCAAAGCACACACACAGCTATTTTAAAGTAAGCTACAGCATGGCAGAACCTGACATGGGACAACATATACTTTTGCACACTTCAACTTATATCCTGTGTCCATGGTTTCCTTACAGTAGTCATTGCGGATATCAGGAGCATCCAGTATGCGGTCTGACATAGAGGCAATGTATCTACCATTCTTTCGAGTGGAACCTGGTGTGCTCTTCTGGCTATAAAGTACTTTGAGGTTGTTCTGGTATCCTGAAAGAGAATTATTGATCACAAAGTCAAAGTCTTTCTTTGCTTCTCTGCCAAATTTTGATATACTATCTTCCACATTTGGACTTTCAGCCAGGTCTACCCAAATGCAAAGCAATCAGAGCTACCTATTGTAGCACAATAACGAAAAGGAACTGGTACATCCGCGAAAGTTATTAGGCAAGAAGAGACCATGGTCCCAGGATGTAAAAATTATAATATGGACATTATTCCAAATTCAAAGCCCAACACATTCTGGCTTAGCCTTTTCAGCCTTCTTTGAGGCTGTATCAGATGAAATAGAACGAAAAAAACCCATTTATAGCATCATTTTTTCTAGGGACATTTAAAGCAAATCAGAGTTGAATTATATTATACAACCTCTAGACAAATAAACATATTTGCACATGTACAGTATAATTTATCCAATTTCATTAGCATAGCATATTGCATATTAAGAATAAAATGTCATGTGTTAGCATGAGATCAATCTACATAGTGAACATCACATTTTTGTTAGCTGTGTTAAGAAATACTTTTTGTTTATTAGGTCCAGTTTGTTTTGAATGAATAATGTCAGGTTGTGAGAGAGGGGTTTTTTTTGGTGTATTTTTATGCACAGATAAATTGCACAGCTGTGTTACAAGGCCAGACTGGTATTCATGAAACTGCTGATTAACTAACTTCAGCAATGTGGGGGAGCAGCAGTCAGACTATAAAAGGGGAATGAAATCTATCTCTTCATTGAGGCCTCCAGGAGCCAATGTATGCAATCTTATTATCCAAACTACCTCTTTTCTAAGCAAATACTTCTCATAATACGTAGGGAAAAGAACATCTAAGAGATTGTACAATAATTCAACTGTATTAAATGCTTAAAATGTTGTCCTTAGAAAAAAATGGTAATATAAATGTTTTCCCCTGTTCCATTTCATGTGATAGAGCCATTCAAGAAGGCTGAAAAGGCTAAGCTGAAACTCATCAGACTTTGAATTTGGAGTAAAGTGCATACTATAATTTATAGATCCTGGGACCGTAGTCTCTCCTTGCCTAACAGTTACCTGTTGTAGCCCCATCAGACTTGGATCTAACTATATGTGAAAGTTGCTTTGCACTTAAAAATCCAACTATACTGCTATCTCAACAAAGGCTGCAGTGCTATACTTACTAATTCATAGGACTTCCTTCCAATTTATCATACACAAAACTGCACTATAGTTCAAATCTTTGTTTTTTCAAGTGATAGAGCAGAGACTAATCCAAATGAGCCAATGCCATTTACACACACACACAAAAAAAACTTCCCCCAGGGCCCCAATTAGTGCCCTCAGCCAAGGCAGTGCTAAGTAGCTCCCACTGGAGCAAAAAGGAAACAGCCAACATTGTTTTATTGGCCTAGGATTAAATTAGGCATTTTTCAGTCTCGAGAGACTATGGTAACGTGCTCTGAATGGAGGACCTGGAACAGCATCTAGTGTAGCTGAGAAGGCCAATTCGAGAGTGGCAATCCCTTCCATGCTGAAGACAAATACAGTCTTCTCCCCTGTCCAGCTCCCTGATTTTGCTGCTTTCAGGACTGCCTCTTTACCTCGGCCTGCTGGACAAGTGTCTCTTCAAAATGGGAGAGGCCATGATGCACCACCTGCCTCCAGGCTGAACACTCAGATGTCAAGGTTTCCCATCTGCTGAGGTCCATTCCTAGGGCCTTCAGATCCCGCTTGCAGATATCCTTGTACTGCAGCTGTGGTCTCCCTTCTGGGGCAATTTCCCTGCACTAATACTCCATACAGGAGATCTTTCAGAATCCAACCGTCAGCCATTCTCACGACGTGCCCAAGCCAACGTAGACATCGCTGTTTCAGTAATGTATACATGCTAAAAATTCCAGCTCGTTCTAGGACTACTCTATTTGGAACTTTGTCCTGCCAGGTGATACCAGAAATGTGTCAGAGACAATGCATATGGAACGTGTTCAGCTTCCTCTCCTGCTGTGCACAAAGGGTCCAGGACTCACTGGAGTACAGGAGTGTGCTCAGGACACAGGCTCTATAGACCTGGATCTTGGTATATGCTGTCAGCTTCTTATTAAGCCATACTCTCTTTGTGAGTCTAGAGAACATGGTAGCTGCTTTGCCAATGCGTTTATCCAGCTCGACATCTAGGGAAAGAACGTCAGAGATTGTTGAGCCAAAGTACACAAAGTCATGAACAACCTCCAATTCTTGTGTGGAGATGGTAATAGAGGGAGGTGAGTCCACACCCTGGCCCATGACTTGTGTTTTCTTCAGACTGATTGTCAATCCAAAGTCTTTGGCAGGCCTTGCTAAAACAATTCATGAGTTGTTGGAGGCCTTCAGCAGAATGGGCAACAACAGCTGCATCATCGGCGAAGAGGAAGTCCTGCAATGCATTTCAGCTAGACTTTGGTCTTCACTCTCAATCTAGAGAGATTAAAGAGCTTTCCATCTGATCTAGTCTGGAGATAGACACCTTCTGTTGCAGTTCCAGCATGACAGCAAAGAAGTTCCCAAACAGGGTTGGCACAAGGACACAGCTCTGTTTCACTCCGCTTCAGATGTCAAAGCAATCTGATGCTGAGCCATCAAAAACTACAGTGCCCTTCATTTCCTTGTGAAAGGACCTGATGGAGTTGAGGAGTCGAGGTGGACATCCAGTCTTGGGAAGTATTGGCCTAAGATAGCTACATGAGAAGCCTATAAGCTTGGAAAATAAGAAGAGCCCTGCTGGATCAGGCCAAGGACCCATCTAGTCCAGCTTCCTGTATCTCACAGTGGCCCCAACAGATGCCTCTGGGAGCACACGAGACAACTAGATACCTGTCTCTTGATACTCCTCTCCTGCACCTGGCCATTGGAGGTACCTTCCTTTTTAAGCCTGGAGAGATTATACATCCCCATCATGGCTTGTAACCTGTGTTGGACTTTTCCTCCCGGAATCTGTCCAATCCCCCTTTAAAGGCATCTAGACCAGATGCCATCACCACATCCAGTGCTAAGGAGTTCCACAGACTAACAACATGCTGGGTAAAGAAATATTTTCCTTTGTCTGTTCTCACTCTCCTAACACTTTATCCATCCCCTCCATGATTCTGCTGAAGATATTTACCAATCCACAGATAATTGACAAGGCAAAGACTCACTTGTCTGCCACCCAAGATGACACTATCATTTCCCTGAACCATTTCTGACTTAAAGGTATAGTAACACAGTAGGTAAGAGAATGACATCTATAGGTGGCTAGATCATTATTAATTATTTACACAATACTAATAATGCAAGAGCCTTCGGTCTTGAACAGGCTAGTCTAAATACCTTACGGGAGTGATTGACACAAAAGGGAGACAGAGCCTTGTGGTGCAATGATTAAACTGCAGTCAAGACTCTGCAGTACTGCAGTCAAGACTCTGCTCACAACCTGAGCTCAATCCTGACAGGCTCAGGTAGCCAGCTTGATACTGGCTCAGCTTTCCATTCTTTCAAGGTTGGCAAAGTGAGTACCCAGATCACTAGAGATGGGGGATATGTAGCCTGCATAATTAATTTGTGAACTGCCCAAAAAGTGCTTTAAGTGCTATGGGGCAGTATTTAAGCAGCACACGTTATGAATGCTATTCCAGTGCCTCTGCTAAGCATATCTGACAAGAGTGCAGATGCTTTCCATTGTTTCTTGCCAGGCACTTAACAACAACCATTCAAGCAACTGATTTGATCGATTTCTACCCCAGCTGCCTATTGTAATAACTGTGGCCCAAAGTTGTTTTTTTATTCCTGCTTCCCCCAAGCTTAATTTTTGTATCTTAAATTTAGATTGTAATGCTAAGGCAGGAACTGTCATACTGATGATCTTTATACCCTGCTCTGGGAACATTTATGGCAGAATATCATTTCTGAGATAAATAATTGTAGCTCATCAACATACTTTCCAAACAACCTTATGCTGAATTTGCCCAGTGCAGACCTACCTTCTGGGGCATTCAGACGCTTGCCACTCAGCCGCAGGATTTTTGCCTCTTCTACATCATAGCCATTAAGATTCATTGCCCAGGCTTTCTGATGCTCCTGGAGTGGGAGGAGAAACAGGACAGTAAAAGATCAGTGGTAGGTAGCTGTACAGAACAAGGAGCTCAGCAGCTCTAAGCCTACATTTCCATGTGAGACAAAGACTGTGTCACAGTTGGAAAGGCATGTAAGCTCATCTAGTCCAGTGGTGGCGAACCTTTTTGGGCTCGCGTGCCCAAACTGGGGAAAAACAAAAAACAGCGGGCGGTGTGCCAGCGGAACCGGAAGTGTGGACCCGGAACTGGAAGTGGCAGCAGGAGGAATCCTAGCATGGAGGTGCCTCAATACCTCTCCGCTGCCAGCACCAGTTGCTCCCGATCCGCCTGCCGAGTGCTAGCACCACGGCTGCAGCCGCCTCCTGAAATTTGGCTGTGCGGAGGGGGGGCGGGGGGGAGCAGCGATCTGGCAACCTATGGCTCGCGTGCCAGCAGAAAGGGCTCCATGTGTCAGCTGTGGCACATGTGCCATAGGTTCACCATCACTGATCTAGCCCATCTCCTCACTCAATCGACACAAAATATGTATCATAACAGGAAGTGAATACAGTGTTTGTAGAACAGATGATTTTGGAGTTCAAATCACAGATGCCTTAGCCATCATTGCCAATGGCGAGAGATGATCAGAGCATCAGTCTATGATTTCTAGAAAGCAAAGGCTGAGAAACCTTGCTGTAGGATATTTCCATAGTTGCACATGTATAAATTATGACCTAAATCCTCTTGGCATAATTGATACCGTCTAAACATTGTCATCTGGCAATAGGAATATTTAAAATTAATTGAAAGCTTCCTATCTCCCTTTTTCAGGTTCCAAAGCTCCCTAGGCTCCCTTTTTGCCCTGAGGAAACTTTTGGGAGCCTTGGGAGACAACAGGGGACTTTAATAGCCCCAAATCACCACTGCATCACCACCAGAAGTCCTGGTCCCACCAGCAGTGATTTTTGGCTATTAAAGGCTCACTCTTTCCTGTCCCAAGTCTCCCAGAATTTTCCACAGGGCAAAAGGGAGCCCTAGAGAGCGTCTGAACCAGAATGAGGGGAGGGCAACTTTCTATTTAAAATAAATATTCCCATTGTGAGATGATGACATCATCCTACTTGAGTGACATAAAGTTGTACAAGAGGATTTGAGCCAATAGGTATGTGTGTATAAGATATCTACTGATTACTAGCTCACCATCAAAAAGCCTTCTCTGCGAATTTTTAGGGGTTCAAAGCCTTGCTATGGACCACTTTTACCTGGCCAGAGGCAGGAGAAATTTCCTTGAACAAAAATGCTTGAAGATTGTGTGTACAAACTTGCTCCTTACCTTTTTGGTAGGTGTGTCATCAGATGAGTCCTCTTTGGTCAAAAGAAAATTGGCCACATCCATTTGCATAGCACTGCGATTGGGGATGTATCTATCCCCTCCAGTTTTGTTTGGAGTATTTTGTGCTTTGGAGGCAGACTTGCCTACAGGACAGGGATGCAACAAAAATAGATATACCTCGCTAATGCAAAGATCCCCTTGGAAAAAAAATGCTAGAATCAAAACAAGGAGTAGGTACTTCTTGTTGAACCTAAAACCCAAGTTGCATAGTCTCCGTATACTAGACAGACCTGGGCCTTACCTGGCGTTTTGGAGGGAGTCTTGCTGGTACTCCGGGGCCTGTTAGCTGGCTTCATGGGTGAGGGAGCTGTGGCATCTGAGGGAGGTCCAGAACTTACACCAACTGCCTCCTTAGCTTTACGCTGCCATCGGGCAGGGGGTGCATTGGGTATGGGAGCATCGAGTTTCAAAAGGCCGTGCAAGTCACTTTCAAAAAGGAACTGCGCCATGGGGATGGGGCGCTGAATGAATAAGCACAGCAAAAGAAAGTAGATACATTAGTATGCAAGGAAGAAAAGCTAGCAAACCCAAGACCCTAAAGCTACGCGCACACGTGGCCTCTCCATTTCAGTCAGACGAAGGGCATGGAATTAAAGGCACAACTCTCTAAGCAACAAACACCTAATTTCAAGGGAAATGCTAATTCCCACCCGCTCGCCCCTCTGCTAAATGTGCCTCGTAAGGCGGTTTCTGGTTACATTACTGGATTGTTGAGGATTACCTTGTGCACCACAAACTATCAGCCCCGGATAGCTAGCTATACGTCGGAAAACGCTGCGGTGATGAAGCGGAAAACCCGAAGAAGACAAGAGCGCATCAATGGAAATAGAGGACCTGCGGGGGCCCCGGCAGTGACCCAAAGTTTGGCTGTACAAACGGTTCCTACTCACCGTTTGTCTCACTTTGGCTGCAACTTTTCCGGCCACTTCCGCCATTCAAGATTTAAACTCGCCACTTTGATCAACTATTGGTCATTTCGAACATAACAGCCGTTGGCTCCCGCAGCGGCCCACCCTCATTCGTCACGCTCATTGGTTTTCCTGCGCGAAGGAGGCGGGACTTTTCTCACGGGAAGAGCTGGGAGGGGCGTGTGCGGAAAGACCGGGGCGGCTCCCTCCCCCCGCCTGTTGGCCTAGTGATAGAATAAGCGCGCGCGTGCTTTTCCGAACTCCTTGCCAGGAAGGGAGTCGTTTCCATGGCGCTGTTTGCGCGACGAACCTTGCAAGCGCGTCGGAAGAGAGCTATGAGCGTTAGACAGAGCGTGGAAGTGTGGCTGACAGAGGCCAGAGCGTAGGAAAGATGCTTTTTGGGGACTGAAACCTGTAAAATCTCCTAGCTGGTATGGCCAGTAACTGGGAGTTCTGGGAAGAGTGGTTAAAAAGAAACACCAAACAAAAAAACACAGGGCGGTAATGTTATTAGACTGGTAGAAAAGGTGCAAAATATGGTGCACATTTAAAAATTACTGTCTCTACAAAGGACAATTTGCAGATAGAACCTACAGTTTTGGCAAGTGAAGTGAAAGCTGCGGTCAAAGTCATGGGAAGAAGTGAACTGCCAGGAATAGATGAGGCACTCCCACATCTACTACTGTATATAAATCTAAACAATAATATGAGAACAAAGATGGAGAGATATGGAACAGTGAAGTTGGAAGGGGCTTATAAGACCCTCAGATCCAACCCCCTGTTGGATGCAGGAATATAGATCAATGAATATCTGCTAGGTGGTTGTCTTAAGTTTCTCTTGAATGCCTCCAGTGTTGGAGCACTCACCACCTCTTGAGATAATTGGTTCCATGTCTTACTTCTCTAACAGGATGTTTTTTCTGGTATTCAATCGAAACCTGGCTTGCTCTAACTTGAGCCCATTATTATGTGTCCTGCACTCTGGGATGATCAAGTACAGACTCTGCTGCTCCTCTGTATGACAGACAGCCTTTCAAGTATTTGAAAAGTGTTATCATATCACCCTTCTGTCTTCTTTTCTCAAGGATAAACATGCCTAATTCTTTCAGTCTTTCCCTATAGGGAATGGTTTCCAGCCCCCTGATCATTCTTGTTGCCCTCCTCTGAACTTGTTTCAATTTGAATCCGATCCTTCTTGAAATGTGGTGTCTAGAATTGGACATAATACTCAAGGCGAGGCCTAACCAGTGCCAGATAGAGGGGAACTAGTACATCACGGGATTTGGAAACTATACTTTTCTGTTTACGCAGCCTAATATAGCATTTGCCTTTTTGGTAGCCATATCACACTGTTGCCTCATATTCAGCTTGTGATCTACCACAATTCCAAGATCCTTATCGCTTGTATTGTTGAGCCAGATATCCCCCCCCCATCTTGTAACTGTATTTTTTTTTCCTGATGTGCAGTCGTCGTTTAGTTGTGTCCGACTCTTTGTGACCCCATGGAACAGAGCACGCCAGGACCTCCTATCTTCCACTGCCTCCCGCAGCTGGGTCAAATTCATGTTGGTTGCTTCGCAGACACTGTCCAGCCATCTCATCTTCGGTCGTCCCCTTCTCCTCTTGCCGTCGCACTTTCCTAACATCAAGGTCTTTCCCAAGGAATCTTCTCTTCTCATGAGATGGCCGAAGTACTGGAGCCTCAGCTTCAGGATCTGTCCTTCCAGTGAGCACTCAGGGTTGATTTCCTTTAGAATCGATAGGTTTGTTCTCCTTGCAGTCCAGGGGATTCTCAAGAGCCTCCTCCAGCACCACAATTCAAAGGCATCAATTCTTCGGCGGTCTGCTTTCTTTATGGTCCAGCTCTCACTTCCATACATCGCTACTGGCAAAACCATAGCTTTGACTATTCGGACTTTCGTTGGCAAGGTGATGTCTCTGCTTTTTAAGATACTGTCAAGATTTGTCATCGCTTTCCTCCCAAGAAGCAGCCGTCTTTTAATTTCGTGGCTGCTGTCTCCATCTGCAGTGATCATGGAGCCCAGGAAGATAAAATCTGACACTGCCTCCATATCTTCCCCTTCTATTTCCCAGGAGGTGATGGGACCAGTGGCCATGATCTTAATTTTTTTGATGTTGAGTTTCAGACCGTTTTTTGCACTCTCCTCTTTCACCCTCATTACAAGGTTCTTTAATTCCTCCTCACTTTCTGCCATCAGAGTGGTATCATCTGCATATCGGAGGTTGTTGATATTTCTTCCGGCAATCTTAATTCCGGCTTGGGATTCCTCCAGTCCAGCCTTCAGCATGATGTATTCTGCATATAAGTTAAATAAGCAGGGAGACAATATACAGCCTTGTCGTACTCCTTTCCCAATTTTGAACCAATCAGTTGTTCCAATCAGAGTACTGATGTGCAGTACTCTGCACTTATTCTTGATGAATGCCGTTCTGTTGTTTTCAATCCAGTGCAGAAGCCTATCTAGATCATTTTGAATTTTGTTTCTGTCTTCCAGTTTATTATCTGTTCCACCCAATTTTGTGTCATCTGCAGATCTGGCAAGCATTTCCTGCACTCCCTCATCCAAGTCAATAATTAAAATAATTAAAATATTGAAGAGCACCAGACCCAGGGCTGAGTCTTGAAGTGCCTCACTTGTTACCTCTTTCCAGTTGGAGAAGAAGCCATTAATCATCATCCTCTGAGTATGACTGTGTTGCCAATTATGTATTCACTTGACACTTCATCTACTCAGCCCACATCTAGTTAGCGTAGTAATCAGCATAATATGGGGCACTGTCAAAAGCTTTGCTGAAGTCAAGATATATGATGGCTACAGCATTCCCTCTGTCTATCAGGGAGGTTACCTGCTCAAAAAATGAGATCAGATTACCGTATTTTTCCGTGTATAAGACAAGACTTTTTACTTAAATAATTGGACCAAAAATTGAGGGTCGTTTTATATAGGTTGACCAAAAATTGAGGGTCGTTTTATATAGGGTAGCCGCTTTCCCTGCCTTTTGTGAAGCTACAGAGTAAAGCAGCCGTGAAAGGGCAGCACACTTGGACCCCTTTGATCCTGAAGGGGTGCGCACATGCCGCCTTTTCATGGCTGCATTAGCCATTTCCTAAACTCTGCAGGGCTTAGAAAGTGGGAAAGGCAGCCGGGAAAGGGTGTGAGGATCACAGAGGGTTCCTAACTGTGACAGTTTTCCATAGTGGGTTCTCCACTATGTTTGTACTCTCCTCAGCACCCTCCTCCACTGCTTTTCTTTTCTTTTCTTCCATCTCCGGTGCCATCTCTTACAGCTGCTGTTGCTCAAGAGTTCTGTCAATGTATGCTTCATCTTCCATTATAGCCTTGAGTGTGGCTTCTTGCTGCTCCAGTTCTCACACTTTTTTTTCTAACAGTGCCACTACTTTGCACTTGACAAACATACTATCTGGGTTGTCCGGGATATCCAAATCCTTCTGGTATAATTCCTCTGTGTATTCTCACCACCTCTTCTTGATGTCTTCTGCTTCTGTTAGGTCCCTCCCATTTTTGTCCTTTATCATGTCCATCTTTGCACAAAATGTTCCTTTAATATCTCCAATTTTCTTGAACAGATCTCTGGTTTTTCCCTTTCTATTATTTTCCTCTATATCTTTGCAGTGTTAATTTAAGAAGGCCCTCTTGTCTCTCCTTGCTATTCTTTGGAAGCCTGCACTCAGTTTTCTGTAACTTTCCCTAGCTCCCTTGCATTTTGTTTCTCTTCTCTTCTCTGCTATTTGTAAGGCCTCATTGGACAGCCACTTTGCTTTCTTGCATTTCCTTTTCTTTGGGATGTTTTTTATTGCTGCCTCGTGTACAATGCTACGAGCCTCCATCCATAGTTCTTCAGGCACTCTGCCCACCAAATCTAGTTCCTTAAATCTGTTCTTCACTTCCACTGTGTATTCATAAGGGATTTGGTTTAGATTATACCTGAGTAGCCCAGTGGTTTTTCCTACTTTCTTCAGTTTAAGCTGAGTTGTAATTCTTCATAGAATTGGCAGATTTCAGCCTCTTCAACATCAGTGGTTGGTGCATAAACTTGGATGACTGTCATGTTGAAAGGTCTGCCTTGGATTCATATTGAAATCATTCTATCATTTTTGAGATTGTATCCCAGTACAACTTTTCCCACTCTTTTGTAGACTATGAGGGTTACTCCATTTCTTCTACGGGATTCTTGCTCACAATAGGAGGTATGATAATCGTCTGAATTAAATTCACCCATTCCTATTCATTTTAGTTCCCTGACGCCCAGGATGTCAATGTTTATTCTTGCCATCTCCTGTTTGACCACATCCAGCTTACCAAGGTTCATAGATCTTACAGTCTAGGTTCCTACGCAGTATTTTTCTTTGCAGCATCGGACTGTCCTTTCACTTCCAGGCACGTCCACAGCTGAGCGTCCTTTCGACTTTGGCCTAACCACTTCATTAGCTCTGGAGCTACTTGTACTTGTCTTCCGCTCTTCCTCAGTAGTATATTGGACGCTTTCTGACATGAGGGGCTCATCTTCCAGTATCATATTTTTAGCCTTTTGTTTCTGTCCATGGAGTTTTCTTGGCAAAGATACTGAAGTGGCTTTCCAGTTCCTGCTCCAGGTGGATCATGTTTAGTCAGAAGTCTCCGCGATGACCTTTCTGTCTTGGGTGTCCCTGCACAGCATAGCCCATAGCTTCTCTGAATTACTCAAGCCCCTTTGCCACGACAAGGCAGCAATTCGTGAAGGGGCATTTATACTGCCCCTCAAATGTCAGGAGCTTCAGCATTTTCAGTGTCTTAGCACAGTGGGACAGACATGTTGCAACAATTGCTTCAAGTAGAATATGGTTACATGTAGAAAAATTGTATTTGGATTGGGTTTAGTATGACTGAAATCGGTTTTTAAAAAGGTGACTATAGGACGCACATGGAAGCACAGATATTTTTGCCTGGGAAATT